TTCCGATCTTTACTGTAAACTGTAACTTTGAAAAATAAAATAGTCTTTAATAACTCTTGGAATTTGAGTTTAAGCCTAACTTAATACCAAAACTAACTCATGAGGATTAGACATATCAAGCGTTTGAAGTATGCAAATAGTTTGATAATGGCTTGAAATCAGGTGAGCAAATAAGTTTAATAACAACTATGAGGATTTGTTCTGATACCAATTTGAGTTCTAGCCTAACCTCAATCCCAAAATCTAGTCACGCGGTGAAGGTTATCCTTCATTATTTATATTAGTTTAGTCATATCACTAATCAATGTATGATCCCAACAATAACAATTGAATAAGAGGACTAACCTTGGGAAGAGTTGCCATATATGATTCTGGAATATCCATCTCTGCAAGAACACTGCTATTTATTGCCATGGCTGCTTTATGAATTTGATTAGCGCAGTCTCGTTTCTCACTCAAGTGCTTCCTTGACTTATCAGAGAGGCCCCCTGAGTGGACACAAGGAACGGGCAACCACCATTTCTCATCTTTCCTCGGAACAATTCTTCGAAATGAGCCTGCACGTGACCGATTTGAATTCCCTGATATGCTGCTCCCTTGCTCTGCATACCAAAATTCAGTATCCTGGAAACTATCAAATATTTCCTGTGAAACAAGCAAATAAAAAATATATGTAAGGCACAAAATCTTTGAATGAAAACAGAGTTCTCGCAAACAAAAAAGCAATTGAAGTTTGTCTTACAATGAGCATTGTGTCGAGCTTCTGCAGAGCTGGGAGGTTGATATAAATATCTGATCTTGGTCTACTTGTCATCATCTGAGAGACACCACCAGATAACATATGAGACACATTATAAGATGCAAAACAAGTTCCCTTAACCTTATACTTAAAAGTGTTTAGTAATAGTTCACCTCCACAATTGTACCATCTTCTAAATATTGTGCAGTTGGGGCGAATTCAACTATATAATCACACACTGATAGGAGACAATTCATTTCTCTTTTCCACATAGCCTTCTTCTCAGGCTTCAGAGGCTCCAACTTCAAATTTTGTCCAAAAACAGTAGCTGCAAATTCCCAATCCAAATAAGTTCAGCAAAAGCCATATAATTGGACTATGCTAAATGCTACTATAAAAATAAAATTACCATAGAGATTGGTGATTGAATTTGATATTGTAACTGCAGAGCAGACACCTTTCCCACCACCAGACATGTCTTCCCCCAATAGAAGTTTTGAAAATCTTTCCCTCATCATATCAAGCTCTGTAAGTACCCGCAAAATCGAGTTAGTTTCACTTACTGTCTAGGTTAACCTTATAAAACCAGTTTGTAACATGAGATTCACTCTCCAATTATATACATTATTATGACCATCTCATCAGTTTATGTGAGATCTCTAACAGTTTCTATAAAATTGCACATTTTGAGATAGGAAAAATTCACAAGGTGCGAGTGCAAACCAACCTAACTCCAAGAGATCAAGGTCATCAGACTTATCATCCAATGAGTGCCTGTGCTGCTTCATTCCTAGCCTGGAAAGAGCAGCTTGACTAGCTCCATGTTTCACAGGTGTCCATAGAGAAGGTGAAGGCTCGCTGGCATAGCTATTGTCATCAATAGGCTCAGAGAAGTTAGAGACCTCTGAGTTACTCCGGCAATACGCGAAGGAATCGCCGCTGAATGGGGAGAATCCAGCAGTTTCAGCGATTGAATGATCATTTTGATCCACAGAAGAATGTGAAGGTTGGTACCCCACATCAGAGTTTTCATCACAGTTGGATGAATTGTCCATCTAAACTCAACAACCTTCGGTCAATTTCCTCAACACCTGCACATATAATCATGGAATTGAGTCACAAATTGGGGTTTGTGGGCTCCAAAAGTCAGTAATCACTAGTACACTAGTTCTCCACAACCACCATTCATAGTCACATACCATGATGTCAAAGAAGGATCCACTAATCAACTTAAAATGCAGAGTTACATTATTGAAATTGAAACTATGAAAACGTGAAAATAAAGAAAAACAAAAAAGACAGATCAAAAGAAAAGGCTGAAACTTGAATGTTCTTGTCTTCCTTTTAAGAAAAAAGCAAAAGCTTCCAAAGAATGTTGCTGCTATTGAGACCCGAAATAATTCACTGAAAAGGGTTGTGAACAAAGCATTCTTTATCCTAACTGGAGTTTTCATTTTTCAAACTCCAAAGACAACGGTTGTGAACAAAAAGACAACAAAATGAAAAAAGCAACGGTCCCAGCATTGTTTTCTATGCTACCTTTTTTTATTGGCTTGCTTTGAATTTGAACAGTGGCTAGCTTAACACCATTTGAAACTGTTCCCTCCTTAGCGTTTGTGCCTTTATCTCCTCCATTGTATACTATTGATGCCAAGGAAAAAAGGATAGAAAGAAGGGAAGAGAAAAAGAGAAGAAAGCTTCTTTTGGAGAAAATCAAAGAGGGAAGTTGTTGTTGGCCTTTGTAATAATGTGGCTAAAGAATGAAAACTGAGTTGCAGAAATGGCTAAAATGTTGTGTTGGAGCAGAACAGAACAAGACATGCAAGGTGTGTCATAGATGGAAAAGGAGTTGTATGAGATTGAAGTCTTGGATTGGAGTGGTTGTGTTGTACTATGATGACTATGTGTGATTGTAAGTACAAAACTGACATGCTTAAATGGAAAAGATATCAATTATACTAATAATTGTAATTTTACCATAACTTTAGACCGAATGACAGATAATGTAAAAATATGTTTAAATATTTTTGGGTGAGTTTAATTTCTATGTTTGTAAAAAAAAAAAACTGTCTTTAATTCTTTTAAAATTTGAAAATATTATTTTTGTTTATGTAAAACTAGAGAATTTAGATTTTATTGTCCATAAAATATTTTTATTTTGAATTTTAACTTTTTAAAATTTGAAATCAATATTTTTAGTAGCCAACAGTCATTTTAAATTTTAATAATTAAAAAAAATTAGAAATGTCACACAATAATATAGTATTATAGACATTAATAAGTGTCATATAAAATAATCACTAAATTTTCAGTTAAATATAAAATATTTCAATGAGTGTCACATTATGGTAAAAACAAAAACAATGGTTTCATATTTCAAGAAATAAAAACCAAAGACAGCTCTCTATAAATATATATTAAAAAAACACGTTGATTTTATAGAACCTAAAATTGTATTTAAGTTTAATATAAATTAACTCAATGCATAAGTTTTTTTACAGCAACTCAATGCACAAGTTTTATAACAACATTTGCTTTTTTAGTGAAAAAAAAAACCCAAAAAACAAAACATCTGCTACTTTAGTCTGAAATTAGTATAATTTTAGGATGATGTTTAATTTTATCTTTGTTTTCATCATATGATATTTCACTTCCTTTAGATAATAAAGGCTAAAAGATGGTCATGGATCCTTTTAAATATATAATATGATGTTTGAACCAAAATTTATGGTTCACGGAAACAGTTTAGATCATTTATGGTCAACATTGATAAGGTCGCATGTGAAGTTGTGAACCATATGAAAGAGAAATGGGACGCTGAAATATAAAAGTATTACACATGAATCAATGATTCTCTTATATTTTAAAAAACTATTGTTTTTGTTTTCACAACTAGTTTTAAATAATGCAGTCAACTAAGGACATGGTGACACTACCTTCATCATATTCCGCACATTTCCTGAAATATAAAGTATTATATCCGATAAGACAATAACTCCATTTTTGCTAATATCTAATCTTGTGAGAAATTAAACCTATTCAAATTTTTTAAGAAAATTTAGAAGTGGGATCCTAATTGCAGATTTTCTTTTTTTTTTTGTTGTTGGTGGAAAAATTAATACAAATGAGTAGTGATTAGCTGGCCTAGTTGAATCAGGTTAGTTAGAAAGACATACATGTGAACAATAATAAATTAATTTTATTTATAACTCTTAATTTGTTAGTTTAGGGTCATGAAGATGCTCAAAGACGTGCAGCCTATTTCTCAAAATATAGCCTGTCATTCTTTTCATTTGGTCATGCTTGCTTATATCAAAATATGTGTCTCACTATTTATTGTTTATGTGTTGAACTTGCATTCAAAACAATCATAGTGATAGTCTCTATATTATTTATGCACTTAACTTATCGTCACCTTATTTACTATTGAATGTTATTTTTTTTTATAGCAAAAATATACTTTTTATCCCTTATATTAATTGAATTAATTTAGTTTCATATTTTTAAAATATATTTTAATATTTGATTTTTTGTCTCCTCTGTTTAAATACTTAACGGATATAATGTGTCATGCTGTCATGTTACATGACTAGATATCATGACACGTGACATGACAGTATGACACGTGTCATGATGACATAACACGTGGCATGACACATGTCAAATTCGTTAAGTATTTAAATAAAAGAAATGAAAAATCAAACATTAAGATACATTTTAAATATATGAGACTAAATTGATTCAATTAATTAAAGTGAGACTAAATTGATACTAATAAATAATATAAGGGACGAAAAATATATTTTTACTTTATTATTATTATTATTATTATTACTTATGCATTGAATTTGTTTTATAACAAAAGTTATCGAGTTAATGACCTATACACTGCTAGTGTAAAGTTTTTTTACACTAACAACCAATTATATCTTTTAATTGTGTCATGTCACTGTTAAAAATAAATATGTTTACAGGTGACATATCACAATTAAAAAATATAATTAGTTGTCAATATAAAATAACTTTACATTGACAGTGTATAAGTGATTAACTCAAAGTTATCATTATTTTTTTATCACTTGTGCGTTATACTCACATTCAAAAGATATTATCATTGATCTTTTTATTACTTATGCATCGAATTTGCATTAGAACAAAACAAACACTAACGTTACTCTTCTTATTACTTTTGTGCGTTAAACCCGCACTTTATTACTTATGTATCGGAACCAACATTATCGTTACTCTCTTTATTACATTATTGATCATTTTATAACTTGAATTTACGTTAAAATTGTTACTCTCTTTATTATTTGTGCGTTAAACTTGCATTGAAATAATGATAACTTTATTACTTGCGTGTTACACTCGCATTCAAAAGATACTATTGTTATTAATCTTTTTATTACTTATGCATACTTGCATTGGACCGAATACTATTGTTACTCTATTTATTACTTTTGGGTTAAACACGTATTAAAATGATCCCATGGTTGTTGATCTCTTTATTATTTATGCATTTGCATTGGAACAAATCTTATCCTTACTCTTTTTATTACTTTTGCATTAAACTCATTAAAATGATGTTATTGCTATGAAACATTATTACAAAATGTAACCCCGTATTTTATTTTATAATTTTATAAATGGGCTTTTATCAATTCAATTATTAGATTGAATTTTTTAAATAAATAAATGATTTATACAATTTATAAATTATAATTAATATTTTGTTTCACAACTTTGTTTAACACATAATGTACTCTTAAATACAAGCACATATGTTAAGAAGGTTTATCTCAATTTATTAAGTTACATGAGTTGTTATAAATTTCTTAATACCTAGTTCAACTTTTACAAAAAATAAGCACATATCAATTATACATTATATTTTTGTAAATTAAAGTTTATTTATATTTTTGTAAATTATTATTTCTGTTTTTATATATAAGATTCAAATACTTAATTCACCAAAATTATAAAAAAAAAACAGTTCATATAATTTATAACAATAAATTTATCTTATTTTTATATATTTTTTTAAAAAATTATACTTATATTTTTTCTCTTAATTAATATTACTATATCTTAACCAATTACTATATGATACTTCTATCTCCCAATTAATATAGCTATTTTTTTCTAAGTAATTAAAGTATATATCTTTTAAAAAGTCTATAATTATTATATTTCACCAAATTAAGAGATCATATTTTAATTAAAGTATTTTAGTTTAAAAATAATTAATATATGAAATAATATAAATTGGATCTTATATAAAAAAATGAATAATTATTCTAAGTTGGATGTTATAAATAGTAATGAAGATAATAATTATTATAAACATTCTATATATATAATTATAAAAACTAAAAAT